TCTGGTTGTCCACTGAGCTTTTCCCAATAGTGAGATTTGTAGAACTAAGAGATACAGATTAACTATAGACCTATTCTATCTCTCAGATTACCACTAAATCCTCCTAAAGATTAATAAAATTGGAAGCCTGTCCTCGTGAAAGAAAAACCCATGTGAAAACACTAAAAGAGATAGTCCATCATTTCCTCAGGCAAACACTAAAGTACAAAATTCATCACTAGTCTCTCTCTGTTTTACCCCATCATTTGTAAAGCAGACTCAGCATAATTGCCACAGAGGAGCTTGGCTACTTCATCAATCCCTGCTGGTCTGTTGTGGCTTACGCAGGGCTCTTTATTAGCCTGTCACATTTAAGGCCCGCCTGAAGCTATTCCCATCTATCACCAAATTACTTTATGATCCCAAGTCTCCCCTTTCACAGCAAATGAATCACAAATGCAGAAACTGTGTCTTGCAAGTAATCAGCCCAGCTGCATGAGGGAGAAGGAAAATTAGGGCTGCCACCCCAAATACAGCTCTCTGGGACTGCGGTCTTAGTGAACTCACTGGGGCTTGGTTTGGAGTAGACATGCAAAGGATTCCTGGCTGGGTATGGAGTTATTTGAATTTTGGAGGCAATGTTGAGAGACTGAAATCCAAAGGAAATGTTTGCAGGACAAATATTTCCTGCCACAATTCATTAAGCCAGTCTCAGTGGCTTTTCATCTGAGCTCTTACCTCAACGTTGGTTTAGGAGTGCTATGAACACTTTCATTATCTTCAATCTCAGGGCCGCTGTCACTATTGTTGCATTCCTCAAGGCTGTCATACAGCAGACCCAGGTCTTCCTCCACTTCTTGGGTCTGATCCACTGGGTCAGAATCCAAAACCTGTAGATCCCAAACCACGGTGGAGAAGAGAATGATACAGCAACATAAAGTACTAATTTTATCAGTTAGCTCATATTTACTTTTTTAATATTTATTACATATAAAAAACATACCAAAAATTAAAATTCTCCTTGCTGATGCACTAGGGCAGGGGTAGGCAACGTCGGCTCTTTTATGACTCGTGGACTTCAACTCCCAGAATTCCTGAGCCAGCCAAGCTGGCTCAGGAATTCTGGGAGTTGAAGTCCACGAGTCATAAAAGAGCCAACGTTGCCTACCCCTGCACTAGGGTAAATACAACTACATATATCTGAACCACTGAAATTGACTGCTATGAAGTCATTTTTTAAAAAAAATTGGAGTGTATTGGTTTTTATAACAGCATTGTAGCTTTGATGTGTCTCAGAAACCCATGGAGAAAAAACAGAATGTTACTTTTTATTACAAAGAGAAAATAAATTTAAGCACTCCTAAGAATGAAATTAAGTAAGCAAACACCAGTAAAAACAACATTAGCAAAGGTCTATATTGTCAACCAAAGACTAACAGTTATTGCCATTCAGAGGCTTATTCTTTTGTTTGAAGAAGTAATGATTCTATTATCCTGTGAGACTAATACTCAAGAGATGAAAGAGATGAGAGAGAGGGGGGGGAGAGAAAGGGAGAGAGAGGGAGAGGGAGAGAAAGAGAGGGAGGGAGAGGGAGAGAAAGAGAGAGGGAGAGGGAGGGAGAGGGAGAGAGAGAATGTACTTGGACTCATCTGAATACTTTTTGAATCTCTCAAATTAATAATTATAAAGCAGGAATGGACAATTTTTAAAAGACTGTGGGCCACAACCACAACTTAGTTTCTTGATCATTCAGAAGCTACAACGAGTCACTTATGAAGGGATAGACTTTTTTTTTTTTTTACACATTTGGGAAATTACAACAGAAATGGGAACAGGCCTCTGCAGAGCAACTGATGTAGTGGACTATGATTTATAAAAGCTCATGAGAAAATCTTAAAAGTGCCACAGAATTTTTTGTTGGTTTTGCTGAAAAAGTCTAACATAACTACAGCTCTCTAGAGGCTCTTACAAAAAAAAGGAAGAAATAGTTTGTGCCCTAAGTGTATTAACCTTAGAAATGTCTTTAACATTCTCTGTATTTTGAAAATGTTCCTGATCAATCCCACAGTGGTTAAGCACAAGCCTTTATGCTGTAAAATAAAACATCTCTGATCCTGAAGGAGCCTCCCCAAAGCTACCCAGCTCAACACCTCGGCCAAACACTCCACAGTGGAAGTATTTAGAAACTAGAGCAGGGGTAGGCAACCTTGGCTCTTTTTATGATTCGTGGACTTCAACTCCCAGAATTCCTGAGCCAGCCATGCTGGCTCAGGAATTCTGGGAGTTGAAGTCCACGAATAATAAAAAGAGCCAAGGTTGCCTACCCCTGAACAAGAGACACAGAGAGAGAATGAGTGATTGCATGCTGAAGCCTAATCCAGGCCATCAAGATGGGGAAAAGGAATGCTCCCTCCTCCTGAAAAACTTGGAAATTAAGTCCTATGGGATCAAACTTTTATCTTGATAACCAAAGCAAAGGATTTGCTTTACGCTCTGCAGCATCAGACAAAACTAAATGAATTAAAGCCAAATTACAGAATCACTAATAAGCAAATAATTCTGGGAGAATGTACTTCTACTATCCTGAGGTAGTGTGTATAGCGTACACAAAGTGTGTGAGATCAAAGGAGCTACATGCTTTCCCTTTCCTGGGTTGTAACTCATACTCAGTGCTGCCAGCTGTTACGAAACAATAAAATGCGGGGGGGGGGGGAGAGCACCCCCCACCCGTCAGCAATTTTAGTCAATCAAACCTTTCAGGTTTTGATGACCTGAGGCCAGCACAGGAACCAAAACAGAAAGGATAATAAATAATATAATAAGGAGTAGCACTTTGGCTATTGGGTGGTTCACACCCAATTTTGGGGGGAGGTCTACAGGAGAAGGCATTGAAACAGCATGTTGATGGCACTGATACCTATTATTATTGCGGCAAGCTGTGAATGCTAAATGAAGACAGTAAAAAATTATTAACCTGGGGGGGGGGGGAACACAAGTGGAAGTAACAAGCAATAAAGCATCCTTCAGGGATGGGAGGAGGCTTAATCCTCCTGTGCATGGAGAATGAAGCGGAAACTACTGCACTGAAAAATCTTTACAGTACATTCAGAAAGGGATGAAGAAATCTGTGGCCCTCCAGAACTGATCAGATTCCAACTTGTAATAGCACCAGTCAGCATGATCAAAGGCAGGAGCTGCAGCCTGCAGCATCTGAAGGCCGCAGGCTTCTCCCAGTCTACTGCTCTTGTTGCTGCATTGAAGCACATTGAATTAGAGCGAGCAAATACAGGGATCTCTTTGGTGGGATTCTACTGCATTCCTGGTATGGCCATGCACGCACCCTGGTCACAAGAGTGCCAGTTACAGTTTCTGCAGCAGATACTCCTACAAGAAATTGCAGGGTAATGCCTACTAAATATGACTAAACTCTATTTCTACAAAGTATATCAAACTAGCTTTGTCCATGCTAACAACTGCTAAGATACTCAATGCTCTGCTCTGAGACATACTGTTGTGGCTCCGTCTTGTGAGCCCCTCTTATCGGAGGAAGAAGGCTCCGAACATGAAGGAGAGGAGATGGCCAGGCCTCCCTCTCCAAGACCCTCCTCTTTGGCAATGCCTCAGGTGTCTTCCGACGGAGAAGAGACTGACCAGGAGCCAGGTGTTTCTGAGATTGGCCAGGAGCCAGGTGTTTCTCAGATTGGCCAGGAGCCAGGTGTTTCGGATAATGAGGAAGAGAAGTTGTGGCTGGATCCACGCCAGCGTAGGAGTGACAAGCGTGCGCAGCAGAAAAGGAGACGTGCCAGAGATTAAGCTGAGTCACTGGACCACACGCCACAGGCTATAAAAGGGAGGTGGTGGCCATTTGGACTCTGTGACGGACAAAAGCTGAATCTCTGGCGTAGTAGTTTGCTGTGGACTTACTTTTCTAACTGTGTGTATTGTTTTTGTTCTTTGAGTAAAAGTCTTGGCAGGCAGCTACGGAGCTGCTGCCAAGTTTTCTTATCTGTGAATTGAAGTGTGGAGAAGTTCTTTAACCCTCGGCTGGCTGTTTGGGTGTGTGTGTCCGACAGGGACAGAACACATACATACAATTCATTCAGTGGGATAACAAATTATGTTGGAGTGGTATGTCGGTCTAAAATAACCTTTCACATTTATGATGTAACTTATCCAGAGTCACTTAGTGAGATGGGTGGTATAGAAATTTAATAAATAAATAAATAACCTCAAACTTGGAAATAATGAATCTGCCACAGAATTGAATATAAGATGGAAAGTATTTTTTTTAGATTCTACTTCTGGGCTTGTGCTCCATCCAAAATTTGGGTTTCTCTTAGCATAAAATGTTAACATTTAAGTAATGGATTAGACTATAATTTTTCACTTTAAGTTATATTTCATATTGTGCTTATCACTGACACTAATATTCACTTCACAGCCTTCTGGCTAAGATCAAGTACGATTTAATTAATCTTATAATGGATGTAAATCTCTTATTTATTTGCTTTGTGCTTTTCCTTCCCCTCTTCTTTAGTTTATGACTTTTTCCCCTTTTAAAATATTCAGTAAAAATGTTCAAAAGATATTGAGTGAAGAGGGAAAATAATCTGCCTCTGCATCTATCTGAAACCAATTTCCTTACCTCATCTGTCACTTTAAACCTCTTCAGCAAGGCAACAAATTTCTGCTTGAAGTTTGGTTGCTAAAATATAAAAGAAGTTGAGAGGAAATAGATTCAGTAATAGGCACAGAGTCTTCTTTTGCTACCTCCCTGGACTACAACACATTCTGTAATTGGCCCATCTTGCCATTTTCTCCCCAGCAGAACTAAAACATTGCCCAAATTCAGAAGTCAAAATGACCTATCAGCAGCCCAGACCCAAACTTCCAAAGGGAGAGGATGAGCAATCCCTTGGGAATAGCAGCATCAGTGTCAGCTTCTCCCTCTACTGATTCTAGAGGCAGAGATGGTCGGGTCGGCATCCTCCCTTCATTTGCCTAATTATGGATTTAATCAGGAGCAGCAGTAGCCGAACTTAAAGATGAAAAAGGAAAGATCAATCGTTGGAGTCACTGTGCTGGAAGGGGGGAATTCCAGCTGTTGCTCCCATCTGCTGAATGTGGATGCCCTCTCAGGTACAGCCTTTTCATCCCAACAGCTTCCTATCTAGAAGTTACTGCTCTTATGCATGTTATAGGATATATTCACGGAATCACAGAACTGAAGAGTTGGAAGGAACCTTCATCATCTAGTCCAACCTCTATCCTCTAAAGAAATTGACTATAATGACTTCCCTGACAAATTACCATCCAACATAAATGTAAACACATTCAGTGAAATCTATCACTTCCGGAGGCAGTCTATTCCCATGTTAAATAGCTCTTACCATTAAGACATTTTTCCTGATGTCCAACTGAAATCTACTTCCTTGTAATTTAGATCCATTATTTCTTATCCTGTATTATGAAACAAATCAATCCCGTCTTCTACGTGATAGCTTTAAGTAATACCGGATGAAATGCATGTGGATATCCTAAGGACATATAACTAGCTTTCATGTCAAAAACCAGAAAACATCACTATATTCTAAAAAAAAGAATCTGAATCCAGAAAGAAGTCTATAACACACCGAACTCTGCAATCTATGCTGATGGAAGACTACATGAAATGTTCTCTCTGAATTGATTTATGGATGGCACCTAGATTCCCTTGTGGGAAGAAAGGGGAAAAGTGAAGTGGGACTTGCAATCATGGTTTATTATGGAGTGCCCTTATTCATGATCCCAGCTAAAGCCCACAGAAATGCAGCCCCAGGAAAAAAAAAAAAGGATGACTTTACTCGGGTCATTGATGTAGTTCGGATCATTTTCCGCCTGGCTTTCTTTGGCTTCCTCATTTCATCCTCTTCGTCATATAAATCCTGAATAGAAAGAGAGGGCAATACACTGTGGCAACCATCTGACTGGGGAGGTGGAGCGTGTTAAATGAAATCTGTGATTCCTTGGATATTTATTAAAGAGTTTTAGAGAGCAACAAACAGAGATTACATGGCTATTATCAAAGAGTAGAAAGTTGAGATGGGGACCTTCTTAGAAGGTATGTTTTAAAAGTCAGCTTATTCTGGGTCAAAGAAATGTGTACGATCCATTAAAACTATTATAACAGTATCATTCCAGATATATATTGGTTGTTCTCTGATAAATATCTCAATAGATTCACCCCTGTTACTAGAACCTTGTTTTTCTCTCTTAATAGCTTTTATCTCTCCCACAAGTATCCATCCACAGTTAAAAAACACTGCTATTTCTGGTAAGTGAAGGAGGAAAAAAATGTAATCATTTATTACATGCCTCTGTTTGAATTGTAGGACAAAAATCCATTGCATTTCAATTCTCAGTTTGGGGCTCTCTCTTACTTTATCATCTACTAATCAATTGTATTCTCTCCCTCTCCTTTCCCCCCTTCTCTCTTTCTCCCTCTCCCTCTCCCCCACTCCCTTAAGCCCTTTTATAACTGGGTGCAGATTAGCTGCTGAAGTGGGAGGAAAGACAGTAGCAATTGGTACTTGGTACTTAACACTAAAATATACCCCTTCCTTGACAGCTGAAAGGGTGATTCAAAAAAGATATACTCTCTCTTAATCTCTTTTAGTAAGAGTGGATAATCAATATTGTTGACCAGGCCTTACCATCCTCATGGATCAGTGTTTCTCAACCTTGACAATTTTAAGGCATGTGGACTTCAACTCCCAGAATTCCACAGCCAGCATTGCTGGCTGTGGAATTCTGGGAGTTGAAGTCCACATGCCTTAAAATTGTCAAGGTTGAGAAACACTGTCATGGATTGAGGCTTTTGTAACTCAACCACACTTGAAAAATACCCAGCTTTTGAACTTGTGTCTTACAGGAAAGGTAGTAGAAAGGCAAACAGGTAGATAAGTACCTGGCCCTGTACTGCATCATCACTGGCTTCCTGCTCAGAGGAAAAACTGTCATCTTCTTCTTCAGAATAGTTATCAATATCTGGGGAGCGATCTAAAATGGAAAAAGGTGGTTACCATGGCCACTCATGAATTGATACAGAAGAATGGAAGAAAATACAGCAACAAGGCAATAGATTTTCTAATGGAAGGCTACAAGCTAATGGCAGGATGTAACTGCAAGGTTCATGAAAGGAGTGACAAAGCACAACAGAACATAATGCCAATTTATCTCAGAAGGTAACAATTTTTGAAAGTTGTAATCCCATAATAACCTGAGGTATTTTTTATGAAACATCACTTAACCATACATTTTTTCAAAACATACTGAACTGACATTATATTTAACATTACATATAACAGCTGTTAAGGATTTTATATGCTCTTTAAATGGAAAAGATCTCTGATCTCCTCTATGGGTGAATGGTGAATTAATCTGTGGGATTATGCCTCGAGGTCTAGAATAACTCCATATCTAAAAAGTAAATGTGATCTACAGTTTAATCTCATTTGGAAGCCATTTCTAGCAAACAATTTTATATGTGGAATTGGGCTACATTTGAAATGTGTGTTCTACAGTTCTTATTTTATTCTGAGATACAGTCTACACATTATTAGTTTTTCAGTGTAGTGTTTGGCTCTCTCCCTTCTGGTTGTGTTCCCAAGCAACTGCTATTGAAATGCTTCCTGTCTCTGATAACAGAGGTAACCTATAGTTACAATTTGTGGAATTCCTCTTTGAAGGTATCCAAACTGGGGCCAAGTACAATGATTTTGGAGAGTGGATGCTGGTATTTAGCTACGTGTTAGAAATAGGATCACTAACGTTATTGTGGATTAACAGAAGAAGAAGAAAATACTTCAGGATGAAATAACAATGTAATCAGACCTGACCAAAGGATTTGGGGCAAAAGAGAGTTACTTCAACTAAACCCTGCAGGGTGAAGCTTTATAAACAAAACCTTACCAGATGCCTTGATTTTGGGACCAGAGGGGACATTTCCATCTTCATGATCAATAGGTTGACTAGAAAGTGAGTAGATGCTGATTTCAGCCACCCGGATGCTCACATCCTTGATGTTGCTATGAAGACCCAAAAGCTGCCCTCCATCTGTTGGGTGCTGCATGACCTGAGTAGAAGATACAATACAAAAAGCCTCTAGCACAGACTGATACCATTCCATGCTTTTCTTGGAAAAGGTACAAGACAGCCAGGATTATGTTCTGATCCTAAATTTACACCTTAAATAAGCATCTCTTCTTCCCCGTCAGTTCCTACATAGCTGTATTACAATCTTTCTGCAGTTTCATTTACCTCAGCCATGTTAATGATGCCCACTGCCAGAGTCTTGTAGCCCAGAATAGTTCGATTCTTGTACCTCTTTCTGCGCTGCAGCATGATCTGGAGCTTGTTACCATCTCTTTTCAGGAAATGTGGATACTGTAAAGAAAGAAGGCAAGGTATTCACATGAAAGACTATTTTCAAAGTGCTTCTGGTGAAACATTTACAGAGAAGTAAAGGAGGAATACACCAGATCTCTCAAGCAGCCTCCATATTCCTTCGTTTACGCTTCATTTTATAACCAGAACACAAATGTGATTGGAAAATAGCCTTAGGTTGTGCTCAGAATAAACTAATTATAAAAATAAGATCCTTTGAACACTGTGGGCTTATTTCAGAATAAATATACCAAGGATTATGCTTTAAGAATATCTATCATATGCTACAAATAGAAGGTAAGCACTGTTTAACAATTCATAAGCACCTGAAGGTAGGACAAGAAGCAACGGATGAAAACTAATCAAAGAGAGAAGCAATCTAGAACTAAGGAGAAATTTCCTGACTTAGAACAATTATTCAGTGGAACAACCTGCCTCCAGAAATTGTGAATGCACCGACACTGGAAGATTTTAAGAAGAGACTGGACAACCATTGGTATAGGGTTTCCTACAAGAGCAGGGGATTGGACAGCCATTTGTCTGAAATGGTATAGGGTTTCCTGCGTGAGCAGGGGGTTGGACTAGATGACCTCCATGGTACTTTCCAACTATATTATTATTATTATTATTATTATTATTATTTTACTTGAAATGCTATTATTAAATACATTCTGTTCAAAATAGACAAACTTTTTACTGAGACACAATTCTTTATTTCTGCCCAAGAAAGTTAAAGTTACCTGCAGTGAAAATGTTAACTCCAGATCAGTCTCCATCAAGCCTCCAGGTGGTAAAACATATTCATTGGATCTCAAGACTCTTTTTGAGCCCTGTAAAATAAGTCCAGGAACAATCAATGCATCATTACCTCATTTAGTTACCAATTTAATACATATATACATACATGCCAGTAGATAGGTCAGTTATCTCTAAATCACTGTTTATATTTTATATACACACACACATCACACACATATCCACCCATTCAACATGCATTACATATAAAATCTAATAGGTTTCTTATTGGGAGCTGCAATTATTCACAAATAGACGGGTTCACAGAAAAGCAAGCTAAGGAGGGTAAGTAGCTTGCTAACAATTGGAGCTGGAGAATTAAATAATAAATCACAAGCATGGCTTAGAAGTCCTTAATTTCTCTCTCTTTTTCAGGAGCTCCCTTTCCTAATAGAGAACCACAATTTTGTTTCCTTATTTCTGTGCTTAGGTTTTTCTCACCCAACTTGCTGTTCTCAAATGCCATCTCCAGCCTACACGCCAGTTCCCTTCCTCCTTCCCCTTTATTCCACTTCAGGAATTAATTAGCTTTCTATTGACATAATGTTTACATTATTAAGACTGCTTTATGAATAGAGACTATAGTTGTTTTACATTATTTGGGTTTATAATTGCTGCCACCTACTTTCCATTAATATTAACGATCACTAATGATGATCATTAGTGAAGATTAATGATCAACTACTTTCCCTATTAATATTATTGATTATGTGATTTTTACCTATAATCATGATTCCCAATCTTCCTCATCCTCCATTGCCATGTACATTCTGACACTGATGGACAGAAACACCTCGTAAAAAAGGATAGAGAATGTGTGGCTCTCTACAAATTGTTGGACTCCGACTTCTATCATTCCCCCACCAGAAGGAACAACAATTAGTAATGATAGAACCTATGGTACAGTATTCATGTATTCATGTCTCTTGATGCTATCCTTTAACTGTGCTCTTAATCTGGAAGTTAGAGCGGATTGTGAGAGGGAAAGGGAAGTTTGCCTGGTACTTACATACTACCCTACTACTTTGGCTGGCAAAATGCTCTCAAGAACCATTTCACTATCTCCTTTTCAATAGATCCAGAAGAAATTTTTCCATACTGTATTGCAGAAAAGTTACCTTTATGGCCAATGATAAGGTTAGGCAAAAGTAGTGAGGCCCCATCACTTGTTCACCTTACTTCATTAAATTACATAGAATTTATTTGAAGAGATGCTTAATTCCAGCAGGATTAACTGCTTCATGACCCACCTCAAAGAAAAGGATTAACCAGGTTTCAAGACTCACTGGAGAAGGGCCTAATGCTGGGAAAGATTGAGGGCAATAGAAGAAGGGGACGACAGAGAATGAGGTGGCTAGATGGAGTCACTGAAGCAGTAGGCGTGAGCTTAAATGGACTCCAGAAGATGGTAGAGGACAGGAAGACCTGGAGGAACGTTGTCCATGGGGTCGCAATGGGTTGGACACGACTTCGCAACTAACAACAACAACAAGGTTTCAAGATGGTTTTAATAACTCTTGCACATGTTCACTAGGACTTTGAGAGCTATTCTGATGACACCTTTTTGATCAGTTTTAAAATATTAATTTACTGAGAGAGATCGAAGCAAGTCCCTAAAATATATTATATTTCAGAGCTGGAAGCATCACAGAAGAAAAAGAAGAATGCAGTGAGTATGAAATGCTTTTAAAAAAAAGGCCACCGAAGACTGAAATCAGCACATCCATTGTTTTGTTTGTTTAACACATGGAACAGTTTTAACCTACTGGTTAAAAGAACCTAGAATAATCTTCACCTCAAATATTCTGGGCAACCATCCAGATATATTCCATGCAGTACTCTCTCAAGGAGATGTCATCTTCTCCTTAACACCTCTTAAGCATATATTTTTTCTGATTGCCAAAAAATCCTAGTACTGCTTTGGCTCACTTTGAATTAGAACAACGTATTCAGAAAAAGCACACAGCACAGTACATGGAGAGTACTAATTCAGCACAAAAGATGTGGAAAACTGCATGCTTAGGTTTTTGCCCCCAATATAGAACACATGACACACCAAGCAAGTCCCATATTGAAATTGGTAAGGACTGGTGGTTGCAACAGTGCACTATTGTATTGTAGTTTTGGCATAATTAAATTGTTATATAAACTTTTAAGAAAATGCCAGTTGTGCACTTCGACTCTGAAAATCTAATTAGACCTGATCCCTATAATATAAAATTTGCCTCCAGAAGGTTTCTTACATGTAGAAATATACATATGAATACAACAGCAGTCTAAAATGATGAAGCCCAGTTTGCAAAAATCTCGATAATTACTATTATATGGTAGAAATACTAGAGGTCTCAACCCTTCTCTACCAAAAATTTCCTGGGTTTACACACCCATGCTGTTGCTTGATAGATATTGCTACTTGACAGATATTGCTGCCAATAAAGGAGAATATTTGTAGCTCATGGTTGATGAGAGGTCCTTTGTGCTCTTTGAGATTGGTTGTTTTCTAGTCACTATGATGTTACCTAGTTTGGGTAATGAAAGGTCTGCAAGAAAACAATCAATCTCAGAGACCACCAAGGACATACCCACCCTGCCCCCAGATATTGCTGCTTCCACATGGCCTCCTGGAGAATCCTAGCATGATAGATAAGAATCCCACAGTCCATGGCCTTTCTGGCAAGTACAAAAGAACAAAAGATGATAAAAATGAAATAAATTCTACAATGCTACCTCCTGGTTTTTATAGTGTTAATACAGCTCCATCTAACAAATGACAATTAAAATCACTATATTTTAAAAAAGGAAAGGAGAAGATGCAAAAATCCCTGCTCAGCATTAAGTTATGGCAGGTAAAAACATTCAGGGGCAAGGAGATAAGAGTAAAGTGCTATTAAAACCAGTTAGCAACTTAAAGAAATCCCCCACAGAAAACTGCAATAGAGAAGATAAGATAAAAGTTGATAGATCTTCTAATAATATAAAACAACTTTATTGCAAAGAGATACCAAGTTGCATTAATATCCAGGACAAGATATATCAGATATCATAAAGCTTAAATAATTGCATATATTCCAAAGTAAAATTAACTCTTATCAAATATTACCAGCTAGACCTTTATATTTATCCTTCCCAAAATAATGCCCTCTATCTCAATTATTCCCAGATCCCTTGTCCAGATGATCTCTGAGGTATTTTAGTCGTATACAGTAATTTCTGAAACTGTTCTCTTCAGCCTTGGTTCTAAACTTGTCCTTTTCTGTAGATGTCTATTATATCTCATTCTCTTTCTGGGATTTGGATTTTTAAAATGATAAAATATTTCCTCTCCTCAAAGGGTTGCTGTGGAGACCTAGGCTACATGCAGTTAGCATAATCTCTGTAGCCTGAGGCCAAGATGTATATTCAGAATGTTTGGAGCCTGCACATCACACAGCTGATCGCCTGGAGCGTTATGTGAAAGGGGAAATCCTCAACAAAATGTCCCATTTCCTGAGCTTAATTCTAGTTAGATTTATTGTTGTTAATTGCAAAGTCGCGTCCGACCCATCGCGACCCCATGGACAACGTTCCTCCAAGTCTTCCTGTCCTCTACCCATCTTCTGGAGTCCATTTAAGTTCACGCCTACTGCTTCAGTGACTCCATCCAGCCACCTCATTCTCTGTCGTCCCCTTCTTCTATTGCCCTCAATCTTTCCCAGCATTAGGCCCTTCTCCAGTGAGTCCTTCCTTCTCATTAGGTGGCCAAAGTATTTGAGTTTCAAATTCAGTATCTGGCCTTCTAAAGAGCAGTCGGGGTTGATCTCTTCTAGGACTGACCGGTTTGAACGCCTTGCAGTCCAAGGGACTCGCAGGAGTCTTCTCCAGCACCATAGTTCAAAGGCCTCAATTCTTTGTCGCTCAGCCTTTCTTATGGTCCAACTTTCACATCCATACACTGCAACTAGGAAAACCATGGCCTTGACTATACGCACTTTTGTTGGCAGGGTGATGTCTCTGCTTTTTAGTATGCTGTCTAGATTTGCCATAGCTTTCCTCCCCAGGAGCAAGCGTCTTTTAGTTAGATTAAGCTACTCCAATAAAATATGTAGCAAATTCCAGGTTATAAATAATGTCCCATTGCCTCTATTAAGCAATTAGCCACAGCTTCTCCAAAATCTTAAAAAGTTTATAGAATAAGCTAAGCAGAAATATAGGTCTTAAATTATGGTATGAGTAGCATCCCTCTGATATGCATTCTGTATAATCCAGATAAAAGCTAAGCCAAAGGGAAAAAAGGAAAAACAATGGATGTTCACTTCAAGACTAATTTGGGATGGGCTGAAATGAACTAACAGACGTAAATGAACCAGATAAACAGAAGAAACAGCTTGCCAGAAGTCATGAATGAAAAGTGTGTGTGTGGGTGGCAAGCAAGAAAGTGCTGAAAGAAAGAAGAGTTTTATCTGTTGCTACAAGGCCTACACTAGTGAATGACTACATATCTTGTAAATAACAGTAAATGTCTGGCTGAAGTGTTAGATCAAGATCCAGAAAGGATTTTTAAAAGTCAAGTCAATCTATTAAAAAGCTGCTGAGCAGTCTCACACAATCAACCATTCTTCTATCTCAGCTCTCCATTTGCATATGGAAGACCGATAAGCTATTTCAAAGACTGCTTCCAAGCAGAGATGAGAGGGATATGTGACTACTTGATATCTTGATAACCCTTAACTTGTGGTGTGTGGACATTTACTATATAGAATTCAGCCTCTTGAAGATATATGTCTGATGATGCGCATTTCTGAATATGAATCCTTTGATCTTCATTTTTAAGAATTATTAAGTTAGTGCCGTTCTGTTATACAAATCAAATATCTTAGTTACTTTGCCACTAAAGAAGGCCCACTAATTATGAAGCTCTATTCCTCGATGACATAGCCAATTATAGATTCCTTTGACAGGGAAAAAGGTGACTGTTGTGTTATTTTAAATAATTTACCATTACTTATGTCCTAATATTTTGCAGATTGAAGTCTATTTTAAATTCCGACCTTTGCTG